ACTTTTCCAAATGAGGGACAAATAATGAGGTCAAATAGACGACTGACCGCAGGTCCAGATCCATAACATTGTCAAAGTTTTGAACCACTTTGGGATCAAATATGGACGTCGGCCACGACTGGCCCGCATTGTTCACCAGTATATCAATGCGTGCAAAGGCGGCGATCGTCTCCTCGACCAGACGTCGGGCGTCCTCTTCTCTGGTGATGTCGGCCACCACTTCCAATGCCTATCGTTGGAAGTTATTTCATATACATTATAATTAAAAGTAATTTTTATAGACTTAAAAATGTATTAATTAAATGAATTAATGACAAGACATTTATGGTAAACCTTTAAAGCTTTTGGTGAAATTGTTTGACACACTTTCGCCACACGGTTTAGATTATTGGCGTTACGGCCAGTGATGACCACTTGAGCGCCCAATTCGGCCAAATATTTGGCAACTCCTTCACCGATACCACTGCTCGCGCCCGTAATGACGGCTACTTTGCCCTTGAAATCCAAACTATTGGCCATTTTCGACGTATTCGGTGAACGATTGTTGTTATGATTATTGCTATTATTTAATAAGTTTTTCAATGCTTTCAACATTTATTTCACACAAATTTCATTGAAATTGGTTTTTGAAATGAAATTTTATTTTTTATTAATAAAAGACTAAACTTTTTGCCAATGAAGACGTGAAACGACAACTTTCCTCATATAATAAAATTTTTAGATAAAAAACTATACAATATTTTTTGTGCTCAATATGTGTGTATGGCTTAAAAATATGGGAATAATTTGTTATTAAATTATATAATCTTAACATTGATTTTCAATCGATTAAAAGTTAAATTATTTTAATAGTTTTTTAAGTTTTATATTTGTTAAATATATTTTTCAGAGAAAACTATTTTCATTTAGTATTTTGGTTAAGATTCTCATCAGATTCTTAACCTTATTTTGTATTACAATATATTTTGTAATATTACTACAAAAATGTTTTTGCTGAACAGAATAAGTGCTAAAATTGAGATATTGTTTGAATCGTAGAGCAGAAATACAAGTGTCAATAATTATTGTACAATAAATAATATTTTATTATTCTAGTAACTAATTAATGTTTAATGTAATTTACATACATGCTTATAGTGTACACAATAAAGTAACAGTATTAATAATACTTAAAACATTTTAATTTAATTAAACCTATAATTACCAATAAAATACAGTAAGAATAGTTGAGTGGAATACAGACAAACTTAAACAGTAAAAATTTATTTAACGATATGATAAATCAATGCATTGGTTATTTTTAACCACAATTCAGATATGAATGTGGTTTATAGGATCGTTCGGCTACCCCTCCCCTATTCCTATTCAGAGTTTGTGAAATGAAAGATCAATGGAGATATAAATGTGCTTGATCAGTAATGAATTATTGTACTTTACCGTAATTCATTAACAATACAAACGTCAAAATGAGTTCACAATTTCAAACACATGTGTTATTATTCACGAGGGAATCGTTTCGGGCAAAAAAAGTGACGGATTTTGGCCTTATTTGTGCCTATAATCAACTCATGTGACAATACAATCGCTGATTACTTATATAAGGAGTTAATTACTTGATTAGTTGGCATAAGTGATAGAAATGTTGAATACAAGTCGTTGTTTGTCACTCTTAGTTGTGGTGGTATGTGTGGGTCGGCTCCGGGCGGACACACCGGCCAACTGTTCATATGAGGAGATTCGTGGCGTTTGGGAGTTCTCGGAGTCCCAGCGATCGGCCGACCGGTTGGAGAAATGCGATGGATCTCAGCCTCTGGTCAACAAAGTTAGGATTGAATTGCAATATCCAAACACCGCTGTCGACCACAACGGCAATAAAGGTATGCATTTTATTAATCAAATTAAT